ACTACAAAGGAAATAATTTTAAAACATAATATAACCCCTGGCTGGTGTAGCTCAGTGGGTTGTGCGTGGGCCTGCGAACCAGAGGATCGCGGTTCGATTCCCAGTCAGGGCACATTCGTGGGTTGCAGGCCAGTTCCCAGCAGGGGCCAGTTCCCAGCAGGGGATGCACCAGAAGCAACCATACATTGATATTTCTCTCCCTCTCTCCTTCCCTTCCCCTCTAAAGATAAATAAAATCTTAAAAAAAAAACACAATATAATACTATGACTAATTTAATCCAATTAGTTTTTAAATATATTTTAGTGATTACACTATTACAGTTGTCCTATTTTTCCTCCTTTATTCCTCTCCATCCTGCACCCACCCTCCCATCAGCATTTCCCCACCTTAGTTCATACTCATGTGTCATACATAGACAATACATAAGTTCTTTGCTTTGTACATGTCCTACACTATTCTTAACTTCCCCCTATTTTGTACCTATCATTTATACTTATTCCCTTTACCTTTTCCCCCATTCTCCCCCTTCCCTTCCCCCACTGATAACTCTCCATGTGATCTCTATTTCTATAAATCTGTTCCTGATCTAGGTGTTTGATTAGTTTGATTTTATTTTTGTATTTTAGGTTCAGGTGTTGATAGTTGTGAGTTTGTTGTCATTTTAGTGTTTGTATTTTTTATCTTTTTTTCTTAGATAAGTCCCTTTAATATTTCATATAACAAGGGCTTGGTGATGAGGAACTCCTTTAACTTGACCTTGTCTGGGAAGTACTTTATCTGTCCTTCCATTCTAAACAATATCTTTGCTGAATAGAATAATCTTGGGTGTAGGTGCCTTTCATGACTTGGAATATTTCTTTCAAGCCCTTTCTTGCCTGCAAGGTTTCTTTTGAGAAATCAGTTGATAGTCCTATGGGAGCTCCTTCATAGGTAACAATCTCCTTTTCTCTTGCTGCTTTTAAGATCCTCTCCTTATCTTTAATCTTGAGTAATATAAACATGATGTGGCTTTGCAGTCTGCTCTCTTGGATCCAACTTCTTTGGGACTTTCTGAGCTTCCAAGAATTCCAGGAAGTCTATTTCCTTCACCAGATTGGGGAAGTTCTCCTTCATTATGTTTTCAAGTAAGTTTTCAATTTCTTGACTTTTTCTTCTTCTGACATGCCTATGATTCAGATGTTGGAATATTTAAATTTGTCCCAGAGGTTCCTAAGCCTCTCCTTATTTTTTTTTAATTCTTGTGTCTTCATTCTGTTTTGGTCAAATGTTTATTTCTTGCTTCTACTCCAAACCATTGGTTTGAGTCCTGGTTTCCTTCCCATCACTGTAGGTTCCCTGTACATTTTCCTTTATTTCACTTTTCATAGTCTTCACTTTTTCCTCTATTTTGGGGCCATCTTTAATTATTTCTGTGAGCACGCTGATCACCAGTGTTTTGAACTCTACCTCTTATAGGTTGGCTCTCTCTTCATTGCTTAGTTGTATTTTTTTTTGGTGCTTTCATTTGTTCTTACATTTGGGCCATTTTTTTCTTGGAATTCCTGTTTCACAGTAAGGGGCCAGGCCTTAGGTATTCACCAGGGCACGGCAACCCAGGTTGTTGTTATGGCAGTTTGTGGGGGAAGGGTCTGAGAGGAAACAATGGCTCTTGCTTGGCTCTCAGTGGGCTTTCAGTCACTTTCCCCACAAGTAAATTGGGCCCTTCTGGTGCTGATTTTCCAGGTGGGTGGTTTTGTGTACATTCTAGGACCCTCTGTGTCTCTCCAGTGAAAACTCTACTGTGGGCCTGAGTGTTTCTCCTGTTGCCTCAAACTTTTCAGATTTTTTCAGTCAGAGTTTTTGAGGCTTTATTTCCCTGTACTGGCACCCTGTGTTGCAGGGTCTGTCTCACTCCCCAGTTGTTCCCCTCAGTTTATCTGCATGTGAGCTTGGGACCACCCAGTCCACTAGCCACTGCCTTGCTGTGAGTCCTCTCCACCCCAGGTGCCCATCTCCACCCCTCCTACTAGTCTGGATGCATGTTTCTCCTTTAATTCATTGCTTGTCAGACTTCTACACAGTTTGATTTACTGGTAGTTGTGGTTGTTTTTTGTTTTTAAATTTGTTATTGTTCTTCTTTTGGTTGTGTGAGGAAGCACAGTGCATCTACCTATGCCTCCATCTTGGCCAAAAGTCCCAATTAGTTTTTTAAATAAATTAATAATAGAGCAATTAAATAATCAATGACAATCAAAAATTAAATCTGAAATCAAGTATTTCCCACCACTCATCCCACTTTAAAAAAAAAAGAAAAACAGCACCAGGACACTTACAAGTCAATGGCAGGGGGTGGGGCTGGGAGAAGTGATCCAAAGAAAAAGTAGACACAGTATAAGAACTAGCAATCCACAAAATATAAAATCATAGTCAACAGAAATATGTGGAAAAAATGTTCAACCTTACTTGTTTTTGAGGAAACTCTAATTAAAATAAGTAAATATCATTTCACTGTAATTGAACTAGCAAAACTGACATTAACAGGAATTGGTAGAATATGAGCCAAATAAAGTCTCCTACACAGCTATTATGAGGGTAAACTAACACAACTACTTTGCATGGCAAACAGTCACTGTGCTATAAATTTAAGAAGGATGTGCCTGTGATTCAGTGTTCCTCTCCTGGGTCCATATACTCTAGTGATATTCACAACCATGTTCCCAAGAAAGACAAATCCAAGAATACTCACTGGACCCTTGTTTACAACAGAGTAAAACTGAGAACAACATAAATAATAAGAATAAACAAATTTGGTTACAATCATGCAAAAAAATTCTATACAGCAATTAAATCAATAAACCAGAAATTTATAAAATATGTGTAATGTGTGTGTATACATCTCAAAGGTAATATTGAGAGAAAATAAGGCTACAAAAGATGTAAAGTGTGATATACAAACTTTTAATGCAAAAAAAGATATGTATTGCTTACAATTATATACACATGTGGGAAATGTATTAAGGATTAGTAACATTTCTAAGAGTCTGGGAATACAATCATGCTTCAATTTACAGAGGGCTTTCATTACATGTAATATGTTATTTTTTTAAAGAAAATATGTGAAGCAATTATGGGAAAATAGCAAGAATAGAAAAAGCTGGGTACTAGGTACCACTGTATGTTATGCACCAAAAACCAGTGACCTGAGTGGCCCCACCCTGGTGAACACCTAAGGCTCCCCTCCTCATATGTAACAGGCATGAACAGATCAAAACGTGGCTCAAGAACAACTCAGAGCCCCAGAGCCGATAAATCTAAGCAATGAAGAAATAGCCAAACTTTCAGATGCACAGTTCAAAACACTGGTGATCAGGATGCTCACAGAACTGGTTAATTTTAGTCACAAATTAGAGGAACATATGAAGGCTAAACTAATTGAAATGAATGGAAATACACAGGAAACCAATAGTAATGAAAAGGAAACTGGGACTCAAATCAAAGGAGTGAACCAGAAGGAGGGAAAAAATGACCAAACAGAAAAATATGAAGAAACAAGAATACAAAAAAATGAGGAGAGGCTCAGGAACCTTCAGGATATCTTTAAATGCTCCAACATCCGAATTATAGGGGTACCAAAAAGGGAAGAGGAACAGCCAGGAGTGGAAAACGTATTTGAACAAATAATAAAGGAGAACTTCCCCAATCTGGTGAAGGAAATAGACTTCCAAGAAATCCAGGAAGCTCAGAGAGTCCAAAATAAGTTGGACCCAAGAAGGAACACACCAAGGCACATCAGAATTACATTAGCCAAGATTAAAATGAAGAAGAGAATCCTAGAAGCAGCAAGAGATAATGGGACAGTCACCTACAAAGGAGTGCCCATCAGACTATCAACGGATTTCTCAAAAGACACCTTACAGGCAAGAAGGGGCTGGAAAGAAATATTCCAAGTCATGAAATTCAGAGACCTACATCCAAGATTGATCTATCCAGCAAAGCTTTCATTTAGAATGGAAGGGCAGATAAAGTGCTTCTCAGATAAGATTAAATTCAAGGAGTTCATCATCACCAAACCCTTATTATATGAAATGTTAAAGGGACTTACCTAAGAAAAAGAAGATAAAAAACATGAACAGTGAAAGACAGCAAACTCAGAGTTATTAACAACCACACCTAAAGCAAAAGCAAACTAAGAGGACAGCTAGATCAGGAGCAGAACCATAGACATGAAGATCACATGGAGGGTTAGCAACAGGGGATTGGGAGAAGGAGAAGGGGGGAGAAGGTACAGAAAATAAGTAGCATAGACAGTAGATAGAAAATAGATATGGGGAGGGCAAGAATAGTATGGGAAATATAGAATCTAAAGATCTTGACACAGGTGGTCATAAACTAAAGGGGGGAATGGTGGGGGAGGGGGTGTGCAGGGTGGAGGGGAATGAAGAAGGGAAATAGAACAACTGTAATGGCATAATTAATAAAATATATTTAAAAAATAATTATTTTGCAAAAAATTGAAATTGTGCACATTAAATATTTCAAAGGACATTATTTGCTTATTTAGCACTTGATTAAATCAACCTTTAAAAACAGGGGTTTATTAAATAAACTGTATTATCTAAGAACCTTTTTCTCAGAATATTTTCTCTTTCATAGCCATTTGTTGGTTACCACTCTTGTGGGCATGCAAGAAAAATTAAAATCTATAACTAAAGGTGAAAATAAGTAAAATTATCTCCCAGAAAACTAAAACACACACACACACACACACACACACACACACACACACATTTAGAGTAATATGACTATGGGAAAAAACTTACATTTTCAGAAAGTAATTTTATACTTAATTATATGATTAATAGTTATCTAACATAAAAACAAACATTCTTACATAATCACTCACTTTTTAAACATCATGGTATAGGAAGAAATGCATTAATAATTAAAACATTACCTAGTTTTATGTAATATAACACAACTTGAAATATTAGTGATAGAATACAGAAAAAAGTCAACTTACCCTGTGGAGAGTGTGAGGAAGGTTTAGCCTTATTACTCACTGATGCACAAATGCTTTTCTCTTTTTCTTCCCCTGAAAGTCCAGTTGTATTTTCCACACCTGATTCTGTATTTCCTGCTTCAGCCTTTAAACAAACTGGAAATTCAGGGGGAAGCTGAATATGTCTCACGTGGGTTTTTTGATCATTCAAACACACAGGAAGTTTAATTACCTATTAAGAAACAAATCTGTTATCTAAACATTTGAAAATATTACACGTGCAAGTAATTTTCTCTGGAACAATGATACAATTCACAAAATCCAATTATGAAGTCGATTTACCAAACCTTATTATTTGTTTTTGTTTGGTTGCTTTACAAAGAATAAACTATTTTGTATAAAAAGTTTACATAATTGTTTAAGATATTACCACTGTTCTATATTAGTGTTTTCTTTGTTTTACTTTACATTTTAATTGCTTCTTCCAAATTCTTCCAAATAACATTTTCTAATATTCATATTTGGATGGAATTAGCAAATATTCATTCACTATTTTTTATCTCCCAAAAACATTTTAAGTTCTAAAATAAGTACAAAGAATAAAGAATTTAGTGGTGACTATATGGGTTTTCAGTGCAATTTTTTGAACTTTTCTTTGTTTAAAATTTGAATAATGAAAGACTTAGAAGAAAAATTAATGACACAGGAAATGAAATATTCAGAAAAGTGAGAAATCAATAGAAAAGATTTTCTGGGAAAAGTAAAAATCTATCTTGCTTCAGTAATTTTCTCTCTCATTATTTTTTTCACACATGCTGTGGAAGCTGAGTCAAAGGAGTTGTCCTATCTCCTCCTTTGCACCCAGGGTTATTAGCCTGAGTTTTATCCCTGATAAAGTTATGGTAGAACACATGAGGTCATAGCTAAGCCACATTGCCCTGGTTCTGCCAGCCCTTCTCAGACTAGAAGTTTCTGTCCCATAACAGACATGGGGGGCCAGAATCATCAGGATTTATCTGACTATATTTGTTTCCTTAATCTCTTCTAAGGCTGTATTGCAAGTAATACTTTTCTGTTCCAATATCTATTCGTTCCGTCTCCCATTCTAAGTTACTCTTTTTCTGAGTAACTCCAAAATGAGTACTCAAATTTACATTTCTTTGTTCAGAAATATTTGCATTTAGGAAAACGTACATCAGGAAAATCCGCACATAGTTATGTGCCACATAACATTTCAGTCAATACCGGATTACATACATTGAATTATGTCTGGAAAAAGTCCAGCCATTGCTAATATAACAAGAATACTTTGTGGACATCAGTGTAATCTGGCAGTAATGGAGAGTAGACTGGAATGCACATGCGTAAACAATGACAATTTCAGTGTGCTAGTCGGTGGGGGTGGTAGATGCCATTGAGCAGTCATCTCATTCAACATGACCAAACAAGTAGGACAACAAATCTGCATCAAATTTTGTGTGAAGCTTGAACATTCCTTTGCAGAAACTATTCAGATAATTCAGAAGGCCTCAGCTATGGGCAACTGGTGACTGGCAGCTTGTCTGTCATGCATCACATTTTGTGCAGAGTTTTTCAGTGAAACATCGAATCACCCAGGTGACTCAGCCCCCCACAGCCCATTTGGCACCCTGTGACTTCTAACTTTTTTCAAAACTAAAGTCACCTTTGAAAGGGGAGAGATTTTATGTTGTCAATGGGATTCAAGAAAATATGATGGGGCAGCTGAGGGCAATTGGGAGAACTGTGTGAAGTCCCAAGGTGCCTACTTTGAAGGATACTGAGACATCATTGTCCTACATACAATGCTTCTTCTATCTTGTATCTTCTTCAACAGATACCTCTATTTTTTTCCTATTACATGGCTAGATACCTCTGGACAGATCTCATATATGACAATATGTATATTATAATGAAACTAAAAAATTCCTATCACCTGGTAGTGTCATAGCTGTTGAAAGGTTGCAGTGAAACACATTACACATTGCTTGTCATGATGCCAGTGTACACAAACCTCTGGTGCTGCCAGTTGTATAAACATATAACATATGCAATCATGTACAGTATATAAAACTTAATACTGATAATAAATTACTATGTTACTAGCTTATGTATTTATTATACTACACTTCTTATTATTTTTGCATGTACTTAAGAAGAATGTTTTTTTTGAATACTATTTTATTTTAATTTTATTATTTTATTTATCCTATTGTGGTTTTTTAAGGATTTTTTTAATATAATTGTATTTTATTTTATTTATTTTATTGTGGTTCAAGCACAGTTCTCTCCATTTCCCCCCCCCACTACTTTACAGTATAAAAAAATTGCTATATAACAGTATGCAGTGTTATGCCAACTGCAGCCTCATATGTCTTGTGTTTACTATGTTTCTTGACTGCATCATTTTATTTTGTGCTTCATTTCACCTTGTACTGTTCTACACCATAATACTCAGTACAGGTTTGCAGCCCAGAAGCAGTAGGTTATACCATAAGTCTGGGTGTGTAGCAGGCTTACCATCTAGGTTTGTATAAATACTCTATGATGTTTGGATGATGAAATCACCTGACACTTTTTTTACAACATATCCCCATTGTTAAATGGCACATGACTGTATTTCAGAATTTCACATAAAAGAAAAATGGGTTTCAATATGAGAATTTTTATCTTCATCCTAATGAAAAACAAACATGTATATTTCTACTTATTCTGCATTATAATCAGAAAATAATGTCTTGCATAATGATGCTCTCTTCATTAAAATGACTCAGTCACTACCCACCTTACACTTAGAAAGGGAGAAAATTCCTGTGATTCTCTACTATATAAGAATATTGTGGACAATTGCATCCACCTGTAATAGTTAATGACTAAGTGGGCTATAAAGATAAATCACATTACTTTTCACAGTTTTTTTAAATACAGTCAAACATAAAAGAGGAAAATGTTAGTAATGTGCTCAAAATCAAGTAGATTTTAGTAAAACAAAATATTTTAATGTTGTTTGCCAAAAATTACTTTTTAAAATATATTTTATTGATTATGCTATTACAGTTGTCTCATTTTCCTCCCTTCATTCCCCTCCACCCTGCACACCCCCTCCCACCCACATTCCCCCCCTTTAGTTCATGTCCATGTGTCATACTTACAAGTTCTTTAGCTTCTACATTTCCCATATTATTCTTGCCCTCCTCCTGTCTACTTTCTAACTAACCATCTATGCTGCTTACTCTCTGTACCTTTTTCCCTTCTCTCCTCCTCCAACTCTCCTATTGCTAACCCTCCATGTGATCTCCATTTCTGCAGTTCTGTTCCTGTTCTACTTGTTTGCTTAGCTTGTTTTTGTTTTTGTTTTACATGCGGTTGTTAATAATTGTAAATTTGCTGTCATTTCACTATATATATTTTTTATCTTCTTTTCCTTAGATAAGTCCCTTTAACATTTCATATAATAAGGGCTTGGTGATGATGAACTCCTTTAATTTGACCTTCTCTGGGAAACACTTTATCTGCCCTTCCATTCTAAATGGAAGCTTTGCTGGATAGAGCAATCTTGGATATAGGTCCTTGCCTTACATGACTTGGAGTACTTCTTTCCAACACCTTCTTGCCTATAAGGTCTCTTTTGAGAAATCAGCTGACAGTCTGATGGGAACTCCTTTGAAGGTAACTGCCTCCTTTTCTCTCGCTGCTTCTAGGATTCTCTCCTTCATTTTAATCTTGGGTAATGTAATTATGGTGTGCCTTGGTGTATTCCTCCTTGGGTCCAACTTCTTTGGGACTTTCTGAGCTTCCTGGACTTCCTGAAAGTCTATTTCCTTTGCCATATTGGGGAAGTTCTCCTTTATTATTTGTTCAAATAACTTTTTCACTTGTTGCTCTTGCTCTGCCAAATTATATGGTACCCCTATAATTCGGATTTTGGAACCTTTAAAGATGTCTAGAGGTTCCTAAGCCTCTCCTCATCTTTTTGAATTCTTGTTTCTTCATTCTTTTCTGGTTGGATGTTTCTTTCTTCCTTCTGGTCCACTCCATTGATTTGAGTCCCCATTTCCTTCGCATCATTATTGGTTCCCTGTACATTTTCCTTTATTTCACTTAGTGTAGTCTTCATTTTTTCATCTAATTTGCAACCAAATTCAACCAGTTCTGTGAGCATCCTGATTACTAGTGTTTTGAACTGTGTATTTGATAGGTTAGCTATCTTTTCATTGCTTAGTTGAATTTTTTTTGGAGCTTTGATCTGTTCTTTCATTTGGGCCATTTTTTTTGTCTTGATGCACCTGTTATGTAGTGAGGGGTGGAGCTTTAGGTGTTCACCAGGGTGGGGCAACCCAGTTGCTGGGTTGTGATGCTATATATGGAGGAGGGGTCCAAGAGGGAACAATGGCACTTGCTCTGCTCACTGCCAGATTTCAGTCACTCCCATGACTTTCCCCAAGAAAACTGGGCCCTTCTGGTGCTGATTCCCATGTGGGTGGGTTTGTGTGCATCCTAGGACCCTGTGTGTCTCTCCAATTAACTCTCCTGTGAGGCTAAGAGCCTCTCCTGGCACCTCAACCCCCACAGGTGTTTTCAATTGGTGTTTTGAGACTTTATTTCCCCACACTGGGGCCCTGGGTTGCCCCTGGTATGTCTTGCTCCCCAGTTTTGCCTGGTTTATCTGCATGTGAATGTGGGATCACCTAGTCCACCAGCCACCTTGTCCACAGTGCCCCTCCACAATCTGTCACCTTGCTGGATCAGCCTACTGCCTGGTCCACCAGCCACCACTCTTTCTACTTCATGACCTCTCTCTGCCCAGCCACCTGACTCCACTCCTCCTACATGTTTGAATGAATTTATTTACTTTAACTCCTTGGTTGTTGGACTTCCATACAGTTCAATTTTCTGTTAGTAATGGTTGTTTTTTATTTCTAAACTGTTGCTGTCTGTATTTTGGTTGTGTGAGGAGGCATAGTATATCTACCTATGCCTCCATCTTGGCCAGAAGTCACAACTACTTTTTTTAACTTTCTAAAATTTTAAACATCACTTCTTGATTTTATCTGAAATGTAAGATATATCTTTATCATCAACACTTGTACTACATAAATCATTTATTACAAGACAAAGTATTCCTATTGCCATGCCATAATTTATACAACATTGAATTTTAGGTACAATTAGTGAAAAAGTTAGAGAAAATTTATAGATGCCTTTCATACTAGC